TATTTGGTACAGGGGCTTGCTATACAGCTCTGACTCATAGTGATCCTTTTGTCTCAGCCTCCACAGTGCTGGGATTACAGGAGTGTGCCACCGTGCCCGGTTTTGGTGGCTGGCATGGAACAGAGCCAGCATGGCATGGATACTGGGGATCGAACTCAGGTCCTTGTGCTTGCCGGGCAGGCATTTAGACTGCCCAGCTATTTCCCTGGCCCCCAGCTGGAGTCTTTAGCAAATTAAAATTCGTACTACATTCCTGTGGACTTTTAAAATTTGTCAGTTTACCCTTTTCTTTCTTTCTTCTTTTTTGGTGGTACCAGGGATTGAACTAGGACTTTGCGCCTGCCAAGCAAGCACTCCACTGAGCTCTCTTTCTCCCCAGCCCCAGTTTACCTATTTCTTATACTACTTTTTCTGTGTGCTTTCCTTCATTCCCTATAATGTGGAGTTGTATCCTCTTAAGTAAACAAAACTGTAGAGCAGGCACTTCATTCTCCTGTTACTGGGGTTACCTCTTGTCCATTAATTAGCTGATTTGTAATCCAATCCTGCATCACATTTAAATTATTTATTTTCTCACTGTATATTTTCTCATTTTGCATTTATATTACATGTTACTTTTTATGATCATATATATATATATTTATGCATAAGTTGTATTTTAAACATTTTCTTTTTTTGTATTTTAGGACAGGGTGTACAGGGTCTCACGCATAGATTGGACTCGTAATGATCCTCTTGTTTACAGCCTCCCAAGAGCTGGGATTACAGTCTCAATCGCCTTCTCAGCGCGGAGCCAGTATAGCAGTCCTGGGAACCAAACTCCCAGCTGCTATGTCTGCCTAAGCAGGCATTTTAATCTGCTGAGCTAGTTGGCCTGCCCAATATTTTCAAATATTAGGAGTACTACCAGAATGTTAGCATTTTTTGGTCTGTTTTCATGAACCTTTATTGAAAAAAAGTACCTGAGAAACCAAGAAATGACTGGGAAAATTATAGCAAGAAGGACTGAATTTCTTTCCTTTTCTTTTTATTTATGTATTTGGCACAGGGTCTCACACAATGCCCCCTGTACTCAGTGATCCTTCTGTATGCAGCCTCCCCAGGGCACAATGTTAGTTTGATTCAAAATAAGGTTCAGTCTAAAGACTTTTTCCAAGCAGATGCCCGGCAGACACATCTGAATGTTTTTTAAAATCGCATCTGTGGACGGCCAGCCAGAAAGCTCAGCGGACTAAAGTGCCTGCTTAGGCAGAGTGCAGTGACGGGGGTTCGATCCCAGTCATGCTGTGCAGACCCCACTCGGGGGCACGCTGTAGACGATGATTGAGACAGGGCGTGGGGTGAGCGCCTATAATCCCAGTGCTTGGGAGGTTGAAAACAGGAGAATCACTATGAGTCCGATCTGTGTAGTGAGACCCTGTACTAAATACATTAAAAATAATAAAAATAAAACGCCATCCTGTGGAATGTTAAACTGACAAAAGGTACCTCCCATGTCCATAACTCAACTGCTTGGCTGCGGAGTACAAAAAAATGTTTCTCATAAAAATGACTAACGAGAAAAGTTTCTGTTTAGGAGGAAAGCAATTTAATCTAATTGATCTGAAAAAGAAAAAAAAAGGCAATGTGATGACACATTGGTATACTACTAGCACTCAGGAAGCTGAGGTGAGAGGAGTGCCACAAATCAGAGGCCATCTTGGACTACACACTGAGACCTGTGTCCAGAAACCCTACAAACAAACCCAACTAAGTATTTTTCCTATTTCTAGTGATTTCAAAATTCTAAACAGTAGGGTCACGAAAGACTGAATTTGGGACACAGTTGAAAATGTTACTTATAAGAACTAAATTTTTTTTTTAGTTCTAAAGCCAAAATTTTTCCAAATTGCAGTTTTAACATTTTTTTTTTTTTTTCCAGAGACAGGGTTTCGCAAAGTGGCGCAGGCTGGCATTGAACCCCAAGGATCCTTCTGCTTCAGCCTCCTTAACGCCCAGATTACAGGCCAGCACCACCCTATTTGGCAATCTTAACATGTTGAGTTCTTAAACTGACGGGTTAATCCGTGCTATACGAAGTCAGACAGCCTTCAACGAATTCCAGAATTTATGCCTTGTCATTGCAATTTAGAATAAAAACCAAGAAAGCCCGTCTACGAACAAAACGGCCTCACGACCTTGATATGGATTATTTTTTGGTGTTTTTTAAACGCGCCGAGGGGCGGGGCGTTGGTCGCTAATCCCGCCGCCTCCGCACTCCGGGAGGCGTGGGGCCTCCCGCCCAGCGGCGCCTGGGGTGCCGCCTGGCCTGTCTGTGGGCGTCGTCCCAGGTTCCTGCTGACCAAGCACCCTTTTCCAAACCGAGAGGCATACGGCGGCGCGCCGCAAGCCGCGCACTCTCCATGTCACATAGCTGTCCCTAGGCTGTTTACTGGCGGTGCGGAGAGCAGGAGCGGGTCGCTGCACTCAGCAACTCGAAAACTCGGCGGGCCAAAAGCACGCCAGCCCGGGACACAGCCAGCGCCCGGCCCAGGCTGCGCGCGCTCCCGCGCCTCGCGCCACGTGACTCGACGGGCCGCCGCGCACGTGCCCGCCCGCGCCACTTCCGACGCGGCGCTCGGTCAGGTTCCGGGGCGCCGCCGAGCTCGGCGGAAGGCCGCGCTGGGCGGCCGGGATGGAGGAGGCCGGAGCGGCGGTGGCCGCGGCCGGAGAGGCCGAGCTGAACTGGTCCCGGCTCAGCGTGACCACCGAGACGCTGGAGTCCGAGCTGGAGGCGCGCTGCGAGGAGCGGCGCGGCTCGCGGGAGGCGCTGCTGCGGCTCCTGCTGCCCCACAACCGTCTGGTGTCGCTGCCGCGGGCGCTGGGCAGCGGCTTCCCGCACCTCCAGCTGCTGGACGTGAGCGGCAACGCGCTCACCGCGCTGGGACCTGAGCTGCTCGCGCTGAGCGGCCTGCGCACGCTGCTGGCCAGGAACAACCGGCTTGGCGGGCCGGGCGCGCTGCCCAAAGGCCTGCACCAGTCGCCGCTCAGCCGCAGTCTCCAGGTACTCAACCTCAGCGGCAACTGCTTCCAGGAAGTGCCCGCCTCGCTGCTGGGGCTGCGAGCGCTGCAGACCCTCAGCCTAGGCGGCAACCAGCTGCAGAGCATCCCGGCCGAGATCGAGAACTTGCAGAGGTGAGTGCCTCCGCGCGCGCGCGAGGTGGGGCCTCCGGCGGGGTCCCAGTCCTTCGGGGCGCCAAGCGTTGGCGGAGCCGGCTGTCTACCTGGTGAGGATACCACCCGACCGTCCCCGTGAGTTACAGCAAAGATCTAGTAAGACTGCGCCTAACGCGGCGTTGGAGGTGTTGCTTTGGGCTCCTGCAGATTTTGGAGATGCTCTGTCTTATTTCGTCTGTTGGGAAGTGACATGTACTGAGTGGGTACTCAGAAACTGTCAGCTTTCCGAGGTGGTCACTTTCCTTGCTGCTCAAAAGTCTTGGGGAATTTCTTACGCTTGTAGGTTAAAGTACTGTACTTGCCTTTTAAAGGCATGGCTACAAGGTGTTTTGATCTTTCTTACTTCTTTTGCTTTTTACAGTATTTGTCAGCTGCCTTTCCTCAGTGGCTGTACTGATAGTAACCAGCTTGTAGGGAAAGCAGCTTGAGGGTGCTGGAGGGATGCAGAGCCTCTCTGCCTGTGTGATTTCTTTTGCCTGGAAGGCTTTTTTTTTTTTTTTTTTTTTTTTCTTTTTCTTCACCTGACAAACGCTTATTTGTTAAAATTTATATCAAGGGTCACCTCTGTGAATTCTTCTACCGCTTCCCGGACAGTTAATTATTACTGAGCTGTATTCTTTGTACCTCTTACCGTTGCATTTAACTTACTGACTTTAATTCCTTGTTTAAAAGAACTCAGTGCCTCGACATACAATGTACATTGACTGTAATGGAAGGAAAGAGAGAAACAGGATAATATAAATGTGCCTTGCAGTGGAGTAGAAAGAACGAGTGTAGACTTACCTTTTTGGTATTCTAAATTTGCAAAGGTAAAAGTGCTGGGACTGGAAGGAATCTCAGGAGTTAAGTGTAAAGAACATTGGCCTGGAAAAAAGAACTCTTGAAGTCTTAGCCTTAGGCAAGTCTCTTGACATAGCCTAACCATAGCTTTCTACTCTGCAAAATGAGGCATTTGAACAAAATGTCCCTTCATTTCTCAGCAGATATTCGTTGAGTACTTGGCGTGTGTCAGGCATTATCCTAGGTTCTGGGGATATGAGGAACATCATGACTCTGCCTTCACGGAACTAACGTACTAGCAGAGGAGACATTAAACAACTAATTATAAGCCTCACTACTTAATTACAGTGTTTAGAGTGAAGATGAATAGTACTGTATGTTTCAAGACAAAATAACAGAAGGACCTGACCTTTTCTGGTTCTTGAGCCAGCTTTTGAAAGAAGAGTACAAATTAACTAGGGTGCAAGGACAGTAGGATCAGTCCAAGTAGAAAGAATGACAGGTAGAGAGGAAGAAACTAGGGCTCAGGGAAATTAAGTCCATCACGGAGCTGTAGTGGAAATGAATTTGGCCTCAGATCTGCCATCAAACCTAGACATTTTCCCCCGCACCAGAAGGGGACTAGAATCTGAAGCTTTGGACTTCTGTTCTGTTGCATATGTGATCAGGAGAAGCAGTCCAAGTCACTTGCCTCATTGACCAAATTTTCTAGACTAATAGTTTATCCATGGATATCCATGGTGGTTGTATCTTTGACACCAGTATTGTGTGGAATCTTATGTCAGTTTTTTTCTATTCTTTTTATTGACAGGAGTTAGTGAAAATTTAAGCAAAAATGGGTTGAATGTAGGCCAAAAGGGTCAGGTAGAATTATAAAGGTACAAGAAGTCTGGATAAGGAGATGATGCATTTCATTTCAATGAAAAAAGGTAATCTTTTTTTTTTTAAACAAATGAGGAAAGATTTTGTATCAATAATTTGCTTGAGGCCTGGTAGTACCAGTGAGAGTTCCATGGACCAACCCTCAGACTCACTACTAAAATATTGCATTACAGTGTTAGAAATACAGAAGTGTTGTCTGGCAAGTGCAAGGGCCTGAGCTCCATCCCCCTTTCCACCAAAGAAAGAAAAGAAATAGGGTGGCAGTTCGTCACATAAACCCTAAGAACATCATCTTGCAGAATACATTTGTGTATCTGGGAACCCTGATGTATATTGTATATTATGTCAGAATGCTTTTTAAGCTGAGTCTAGTTTTTTGGCAATAAAAATGATACCATCTTTAAGGACAATTTTTAAAATTACGTATACTATATAATCCACGCAAACATCGCTTTTCTTTGTAACCTTCATTATTCCAGGAAGGAATAAACAAGTTCTGGTTTGCTTTGGTTTGTTGTGGTTTTTTAAGATGGGGTCTCACCCTATAGTTCAGGCTGATCTTGAGCTATTCCTCACCTCAGCTTCCCAGTGCTGAGATTACAGGTGTGCACCACCACACTTGATTTAAAATAAACATTTTTGGTTTAACTCATGTCATTGACCTATCCAGATTTAGCAGGATCTCTTCAGCTGTGTTTTTGTACCCTGTTAGCTTTCCTATTCTGACAAATTTATTTTTTAATTTTTCTGAAAGCACATTTTCAGAATATAAAAAATAAGTAAATACTGAAAATCTTAAAGCTTTTTATATTTAACTTTACTTTGCTAGAGTAAATTAGTCTGTGAATATTTATTTTCTTCCTCCAAATGTGAGTTCTATTTCATCAAGTGGATATAATTTTTAGTATAATTTTTTTTAATATGGAAGCCCTTTTTGTTTCATGCTGAAAAAGTATAATTCACAGTTCAACTTATTTCTTCTGTCTGAACTACTGCCTTTTATTCCTGTGTCAGTTTTATTTTACTTGTGCTTTTTATTCCTAGTGTCATTTAGCCCAGACACTAAGTGGGGAAGAACTTAGTAACTTACCACCCATTAAGAAGTAGACTGTTTAAATGAAAGTTTCAGAGTTGTTTGGCACAAAGGGTGCTAGATATTTAGAGAGTAGGCTTGAGCCACCAGTTTCATTGGTACATTTTCCTAGTCTTTTCTTCCTAAGTGTCTTTTTCTGTTTATGGCTGTCTTACTATCTTTATTTTTGTGTCAAAGGATAAGGAATTGTGGCTTTGAAGGATAAAGGATTGTGTCAAAATGAAGGCTAAATATTAATGCCCTGGAATGTGTTGCAGATGTGTATAATAGATACTTTAGCAAAGAGGTGACTTGAGATGATAGAATGTGTTAAAAAGTTCAACTAAAACTTAGTTTCATCTCCCTTCATTGAACCATGCAATATAAGGCTAATGCATATTTTTATTTTATGTAATGTCGTCTTTGGGAAGCAAATAGCATTTTCTATTTACATCTGTGGTTAGAATTGATTGTCATAAAGGGCCAGCCAGATAGCTCAGTGGATTAAAGCTCCAGCTTATGCAGACGCAGGGACCAGGGTTTGATCCCTTGTGAGCTGTGCTGGCCCTGCCCCAGGGGCACACTAAGAACAGCACTGCATGCTGGGGATCGAACCCCAGCCCCTGCATCTGCCTAAGCAGGTGCTTTAAACTGCTGAGCTGTCTAGCCAGCCCTTGCAAGTTCTTATTAATTATTGAATGTGCTATTAAAAGTTCTTCAAGTTTGTTAAGCTTTTACCCCAGTTAGCCTTCTAATTAAAAGTTTTCCAAGGAAGTTTCTTTTCTTTCAAGTGCAGTCTATTCTACTAAAGTATCTCTAATCATTGAAAACCAGAGATTTCTAAGTATCTCAACATGAATTTATACTGTACTTGGTAGGATCAAAATGACCTGCTTAAGATCTGTTTTTCCAACAGTCGCATTCTTAGGCATTTATTCAACTTACAGATAGTTGATTTTTGCTCCAAAATAATTTTTTTTTTTTTTTTTTTTTGGTGGAACCAGGGATTGAACTCATCTAAAATAATCTTTGAAAGTGAAAAAATTAACATCGGCATTATTTGTGTGCTTATTTTACCTAAACATAAATCTTGAGAGAGAAATGCAGGCTTGAAAAGCTGCACGTAATCAGAAGTAGAAAAAAAAAATCATTAATCTTTTTGAGGGGTAGAAGGAGGAAAGAAGGCCTGACTGTGTACTCCAGGCTGGCCTTGAACTCACAGAGATCCTTCTGCCTAAAGCTTTTGAGTGCTTTGTCATTAATTATTAAAACCAAAAGAACCTCAGATTTAGGTAGGCTGTTGGAAAGACCATATTCTGAGATTATTAAGACCAGAAGAAATGTAATAAATGGAAGAAATTATACCTGAGAAAATACCTATAATACAGCTACCAATGAAGAACTATTTGGGGCAGGATTAGAGAAACCAGGTATGTCCCCAACCTCTTTGCATTGTTTATTTTGAGACAGAGTCTCACTGAGTTGCCTAGTCTAGATTCAGACTTGCCATCACCCTGTCTCACCCTCCCAGAGTGACAGGTGCCCCCATGCCTGACTCACTACAATGAGTATGTTTTCTAACTTCAGAGAGGAGGTAAAGGGAAGAAGTTTTATCAATGAAACAAGAATAGGAAGTTTTAGAGTTTTAAAACTGACAGTTGTAAGCTGGGCATGTTGGTGCAGGCCTGTAATTCCAGCCATTGGAAGGCTGAGGCAGGAGGATTGCCATTAGTTCAAAGCCAGCCTGAACTACATAGTGAGGCCCTCTCTCAAATGAAGCATAGAACTGACAATTGTGAAGCGACAATTAGAATTCTTAGAAAAGAAAAAATATACAGTAGTCTTCCTTTATTTTCAGTTTTGCTTTATTAGGGTTGTATTACTCAAGGCCAGGTCAGGTCCAAAAATATTTGATAGAAAATTCCAGATATATGGGTTGGGGAGATGGCTCAGTGGAATAAGCGCTTCCCTGGCAAGTGCAAGGGCCTGAGTTCAATCCCCGGTTCTGAAAAAAAAAAAAGTCTCAGATATAAAAATTTCAGAAATTTTAAATTGTATCCATTCTGAGTAGTATGATGAAATCTTATGTCCTCCTACTTAAAATGGAATCAGCCTTTTGTCTAGCTAGTTCATTCTATGTACTCTGCTTTATAGTAATTGAGTAGCTGTCTTGCTGTTGTGTTTGACTGTCATTGTTCACGTTCAGATAACCCTTACTTCACTTGGTGAACTTGTGGCACACATTACTTGTTTTTCTTTTAAGACAGATGTTTATGTGTGACTTGTTTTCTAAACTAAGACTTCAGGGTTACTTGCAATATTGGCAGTTTGCAATAAATAAATGGGTTTTGGGTAGCATTTGGGGCACTCATTCTCTAAAAAGTTCACCATCATTGCCTTGTTTTCTTTAATAATTGGTCCAAAACACAAGAATAGGGAAGCTGGAAATTTGGATATGCCAAAGGGAAGCCACAAACTGCTTCCATAAAGTGAAAAGGTCAAAGTTCCAGACTTCATAAGGAAAAAAGAAAAGTGTGCTCCAGTTGCTAACATTGACTCCAAGAATGAATCATTAAGCTGTTATCTCAAATCACAAAAAGAATAGCTACAGAGACTAAATGCTTAGTTGAGGTTAAAGGCAATAAATTATAGGATTCAGTGCTAACCCCTGCTTCATACACCTACTGGGAGGTCTTGGCATATGTCCCCCAAAGAAAAGGGGGTTGCTGTAATTGTGTGAAGATAACTGAAGAATAACCCTCTTCCTGAGGCATTCTTCTGGAGTGTAGCACAAAGAGCATAAAAAGAGATAGAGGATAGGTCCTGCAGTTATAATCACTGCTAGCCATTCTAGAAAAAAGAAAATGAAGTAACTGTGGCTGAATTCTTCTACAACTAAAGAGCTCTCCAAATTAACATTTTGATATATTATAGAACTTTAGTAAAGACAAACAGAAGAATATATCCAGAGCTCCTGAGAAAATAAAATCAAACAAAAAATGGATTGGCTACAAAGGAACAGTAATAATATTGGCTTTACTAACATAGTAGAACAGCATCTCCGTACCACTAAAGGAGTATAACTGCCCACCTTGAATTTTATACCCAACCATCATATAAGTCAGTTTTGAGGTGAACAGATAAAAAGTTGGGCATGGAAACAAAGGACTCAAAGACTAACAACCATGAGTCCTTGCTAAAGGAACTCCTAAAGGGCACAGTCCAAGAAAAACAAACTTTATTTTTTTTGTGGTACCAGGAATCGAACTCAGGACCTTGCACTTGCCAAGCAGATGCTTATGCCACTGAGCTGTCTCCCTGGCCCAAGAAAAGCAAATTTTAAAAGACACACCAGGGCGCCGGGGAGATGGCTCAGGAGAATAAGTGCTTCCCTGGCAAGTGCAAGGGCCTGAGTTCAATCCCCAGTTCCGCCAGTAAATAAATAAATACACGGAAAACTATGGCAAACAAATTGGGTTGAAAATAAATTTCTATAAACAATATTTTTGGAATCAAGGTTAATTCTAGAAAGTGATATCAAGAGAAAATGGAACAGTTGAAAGCAAAGTGAAGGGGCAACTGCTAGCAAAATAGAAATAGCACTGCTCGGAACAGTACAGGGGAATAGAATAAAAGGTAACAATGCAAACAAATGACAGAACTGAAGGGAAAAAAGATACAGGGATGCTGTCATAATAGAAAACGCAATTCTAAATGTATGGCAGTCCACTAGTGCCCACTTTACAAGTTACACTTAAAAATGTACCTGTTAGTTAAAAGTAAAAGATGTGCCCGGCAAATCCATCACTTCTCATCTGAATTACTGAACTGGGTTTCTGTCTTTTCCTGTTTCCACTCTAGTCCTCAGCACTCCTCCATCACTTTCCCAGCTTTTTTGGTGATTCTTTAAAGCATGAATCAAGTTGTATGACTTCCCTTTGTTCAAAACCCGCCATATCTGAAGTAAAATTCAAAATCCTGAAAATGCCTTTGTGATCTGACCCTCCCAGACTGTTGCTGTGACCTGTTGTCTACCATATCCTGCCACATTTCCCTCTAGCCTCTGATCTACCCACACTGACTATACATGTTTCCCGCCTGCTTATTTCATCCATTTCTCTGTTCAGGTGTCGTCTCTTATGAGAAAACTTTCCAGGCCATCTTGCCGTTATCATCTGTTTTCACTTTTCCTCATAGCACTTAATATTACCTGGCATAAGAGAAGTATATCTGTTTTTGTATTGGAACATAAGCTTCAGATCAACATCCAGATTGTATTTACACTATAGTTTCTGGAAGGATACCCAGGACATGGTTGGTATTCGTATTTGTTGCCTAGATGTTTTATGTGTGTATAGTAATAATGCTAGTCTATTTTAAAGAAAGGAAGCAAGTAACTGGCTCAAGTTTTTACATCACTAAGTGGTGGATCTAGAGTTGAATAAGTACAAAGGTAAAACTAGTAGGCAGTATTGATAACCAGATGAAAAAGGTTTCAAAGCAAAATGAATTTAAATAAGAATAAAATAAATAAGAAAGAAAAAATTTTCGTATCAGTTAACACTTCAAGAAGTTTTAGGAGTCAGGAACTTGAATGTATCTGCAGTGTAGCTTCTGTGTATTAAAAAATTCACAGAACTCTGAAGGGGTCAAAGGAAAGCCATGCTTTGGTAGGAGTAAGAAGGCAAAAATAATAAAAGAAATTACACGAACATTTGAATTCAATTTACAAGTTGAGTGCATATTCTTTTAGTACATATAAAATATGAACAGACCATGCCCTTGGTTTTAACAACCAACCTCAAATTAGTATAATGAGTTTTTGCACTTAGATTGGGGCTGGACTTTGTAGATTTAAAAGTAATTCCCATTTTTTAACATGCAAATTTGGGTAGCAGTCTAGTAGGGCACTCCCCCCCCCCATCTTGTGTTTGTTTCTGTGCTTATTTGCTTGTTTTCTTGATACAGAGTCTCACTATTATAGTGCAGGTAGGCCTCAAGTTTGTGATTCTCCTGGTTTTGGGATTCTCCTTTGTTTGCAATTACAGGGATGTAGCTCCATACCTGGCTTATTTTCTTCCACTGTAAAAGTGTTTAGGAGCTGGAGGCATAGCTCAGTGGTAGAGCAAGTATAAAGGGCTCCAGGTGAACTGCATATATGTGTTTGTATGTATGTGGGGGGAGGAAGAAAGGCCTTGGAAGAATGATAGTTCTGCTTACTGAGTTAGCAGATTTAACAGAACAAAGTTGCACAGCACAACAGTGGCCTGTGTCTGTGTGTGTGCACGTGCATTGTAAGAGCTGCCTTCTGCCACTGTAGAAGTCTGCAGAAAGCTTTTCTACAGGCATCACAGAGAGTAGCACCATTATATTTGAGTATAGTGTATGTCTTATTTGGAACTTTAATTTCATGGAAATCATCAGTTTTACATATAATTTATTTAGACAGCATCTAAAGAATTTTTGTTATAAAAGGAACAAAGAAACAGAAAATTCAGATGTGGTTTCCACTTTTTAAAAAAAGACCAGTGATGTTTCCATTGCCTATTAGTACATTAAACCTAAGCATCCCACGTGGAATTCAAGGTTCCTATAATCTAGAGCCTTTCCAGCCTTGTCTCTGCATTGAAAAGCATATTAATTGAACCTTAAAAGCCCTCCGCCTTCAACCTGAAGCTTCCTCTCTATGCTCTCTAAATAGCTAAACTTACAGTCCAACTGAAGCAGCCTTTTCCAGTAAGAGCTGCTGTGGCCTATTCTTTACTCTGTGTCTCTCCCTCCCTCTCTCCATCCCTCCCTCCCTCCCTCCCTCCCTCTCCTGTGCAATTTGTAAAGTTTTGCTCTTATTTTTTAAATTGCATAATACTTCTTTCTGGACTTGTTTTTTGAAAGAGTCTTGCTATATAGTATAGACTGACCTTGAATCTACTATGTAGCTCAAGCTGGCCTCCAATTTGCTAGGATCCTCTTGCTTCAGCCTCCCAAGTGCTGGGATTACAGGTGTACACCACCATGCCTGGCTTTGCCCTTGTTATTTAATTATACTGGTTTGTCTTATCTGCTTCACTGTTGTTTCTCTAGAGACTGGATGGCATGTAGCAACTTGTAAATAATACATTTGCTGAATAAATAGATGAAAATGTGTTCACTATAATAGAAATAATGGAGTATCTAGTCTAACATTTATTTTCTCAATTTTTCATTTTTACATTTTCAGTTTAGAGTGTTTATACCTTGGAGGAAACTTCATCAAAGAAATCCCACCAGAATTAGCAAATCTGCCATCTCTGAATTACTTGGTGTTATGTGACAACAAGATCCAAAGTGTGCCTCCTCAACTTTCACAGTGAGTGGCTTTAGTTTATATTTTCATAGACCTCCATACTTAGAAATTATTGTCTTACATTCACTCACCTCTGTTACCTTTAAAAAAAAAAAATTAAGTATACTCATAGTAAGTGACATAATTATAACTCTTGAGGTTTGCTGTGAATTAGGTTATTTTCAATTTTACTTTTAAGGGCTTTGATTTATTCTTGAAATTACTTGTTCAGCTTCTTTCCTGGAATGAAAAAAGTTAATTTGTCATAGGCTTTCATGGGTACTATAGGCTTTTCGTGATTTTATATTTAACATGAAGCACTCTAACAAATGTTCATAAAGTAAAGGATTTTCATTCCTGTTACATCTGAAACCTTTCCTGATTTAGCTATCTGAATGATAAAATATGCTCCCTGAAATCTTTACTTTTGATATTAATCTCATGTAAGACATCAGCATGCTTTTCTAAGATTCCAAGGGCAGCAATTTTTATGGCACTTATAAAACTGAATTTAGGCTGGTTTTGGCATCTTCCTTTCATTGATGTTGGCTGCTGATTCTTACAGAGAAATTGACTATTCATATGTACATACATAGGTCTATGCACACGTGCTGATGCACATATGTGTGCACTTTCTAGTAGTTATATTGCTCACTCCTGTTGGTTTCTGTGCTGTATTCATTCTAGGTTGCATTCACTTCGTTCTCTTAGTCTTCACAATAACTTGCTGACATACCTGCCCCGAGAGATCCTCAACCTGATTCATTTGGAAGAGCTGAGCTTACGAGGAAATCCATTGGTTGTTCGTTTTGTTAGAGATTTAACCTATAACCCTCCAACTCTCTTGGAATTAGCTGCATGGACCATTAAGATGCGAAATATTTCCTACACTCCATATGATCTTCCTGGGAATCTTCTTAAGTACTTGAGTTCAGCCAGCAATTGCCCAAACCCAAAGTGTGGCGGTAAGTAAATTCGTTGTTCATGTTTCCTGCTTATTTAATAATTTTAAAATTTTGAAAATTAGAGAAATAGAAGGGCTACAAGGTCAGCCAACATTTTGGCCCTAGCCTTTCAAGGTCAGTGAAGACTTAGAATGTAGGAGAACCTATACTGTAGCATCATGTAACTCAATTGTGCCCCAAATTTTCTGATCAAGAGAGATTATAGGGCCACAGAGCAAAGTGATCGATGATGTAGAGTGTGCCTAAGGGGAGTCACATGGAGAGAAAACATTCTCTCAAGCTTTCACAGAGAGCAAATTGGTCAAGCAATGGCCGTGACTCAGCCACAAGGCTGACACTGACAAAGGATCTACTAACTGCGGTACAGGGTTTCAGTATAAATCCTGAGGGGATTTGACTGACCTTATCAGATACAAAAGCTACATTTCTTGTTATATAGGTCTTGCTTTATCTTGGTCTTAACCATCCAGCAGAAAATTATAAAAACGAGGTATATAAAGTAAAGCCGTATTAGTATACTGAGCTGTGAAATGCTCAAGTCAACACCTTCTGTGGATAACCCACTACTATTATAGACTGCTGGACTGTATTGGATTGTTTTGCTGAATTCACTCATGCACCTATAGTATTTAGATGCCATTGGAATACCCATCTCTGACAGGACTGAACAAAAAAATATTTTGTATCTGTATATGCAGAATAGTTAGGATAGATATACAGCTACTGTCGCTTAATTCAATGAGAAGAAAGATTTATAGTAATAGAGTTTGGATAGGATATCATGTCTGCGTCTTACACTACGGATAATCACTAAGAAGATAACAATGTACCATATATTTATTATTGAAACTGTCTTATTGCTACTTGTTTCTCAATAAAATTTTGATTGTTACTTTAATTAACTAAGGCTTTTAGAAAAAGGCAGCATCTTAGTTACTTTTGTTATTGCTGGGAAAAAATATCCAACATTTGCAGGTTAAAGGGGAGAAACAGTCCATGGTGAGGCAGGCAGCAAGCAAGGAGCCTGCCTACTTTCTGTTCCTTTTGTCCAGTCCAGGCTGCTAGCTTTTCAGGTGGTGCCACCCACACTCACATTCAGCCTTTCTGTCATCCACACCAACTCATATTAAGCCACTCAGCAGACTAATTTAGTTATAACACACTTAATCCACATTCACACATTCTGTTGAGGTTCAGCTACCTCTGAAAAGCCTCATCTGTGAGCATATGAGGCTTTTCGGGGGGACTTCTAGGTACAAGGCATAAAAGGAAGTTATCAGAAAGTAAAACATTTTACACTCAAGATTTCTTTCTCTTCGTGTGTGTGTGTGTGTGTGTGTGGTGTTAAGGATTAAACCTAGGACCTCACCCATAATAGGAAAGTATTCTACCACAGAGCTGCATTCCCCAGCCCACTTTTTTCCCCTTAATTCTTTTCATAGTAATTTTGGATTCACACGTAAGAAAATACCAGTATTTTGGGGTTCACGCACAAGAAAATATTCTCATTCAGGATATATGAGAATGGGCTAGATGCATGCAGATCTCAGGGTGTACCCTAGCACTTTATATGTGTCCCCTAACTCCACAGCTCAGAATTTGAGTTTAGAGCTTTTGGAGAGAAGTAAACAAATGGTATAATATAGGGCAGAATAAGATAATTTTCTCAAGGAATTCAGACTGTTATTAGATACAAAGGAGGGATGATCTATTTAATTAGCTCTGGAAAAGAAGAGCTGATTTTTGAGGGACCAGTTAAATTTTGATAGAGTAAGATTGAGGGTGGGAATCTTTTCAGATGAAGAAAGCAGAGTAGAGATAGAATAGTGTGGGGCAGTGTGTCGGGTAAGTGATAAATTGGCTGAGATGTTATAGTTGGGACAGTAGAGTGAAAAGATTCATTAAAGCCAGCTGGTAACTGCCGGAGTGTATAGGTGGTGACTGGCGACTGATAGCAGGTCAGTTTATTTTGGCTTACTCATAAAAGACTAACATTTTAATAGTTCATTTTAGTGGAGCATAGGAAGGCTTTTAGTCTTGCAGGATAAATATATGTATAGAGGAGGTTGTATAATGATGATCAAAACCTGGTGAGATTGTCCCTAAAAGTTGTCTTATCTTGCAACTGTCCTAAGTTTAAAAAGTGGGAAAGCTGATTAAGTTCAACAATTGTTATAAAAGATAAAAGATACTGTGGATTTAAAAAAGAAAAAGAAGGACCATGGTGTGGCACATTTCTGGCTATGCACTTAAAAAGAAAAACAAAAACTTGTATTTAGTACAGGGCTATACGGTCTCACTACATAGATGTGACTCACAGTGGTTCTCATGTTTCCAGCCTCCCAAGCACTGGGATTATAGGCATGGGCCACCATGCCCAGTCTCAGTCGCCACACCCTGGGAGTGGGCCCAGCTCAGCAGGGCAGGGATACCGAGCCCCGGTCCCTGCATCTGCTTAAGCAGGTGCTTTAATTTGCTGAGGTATCTGGCCGGGCTTCTGGCTCTACACTCTTAGAAATAAGTAGAGGTTGCAGTTTAGTAGTACACTTACACTTCTGAATAGAGAAATATGTTATCCATATGGTAAAAACTAATGTAGTCTTAAGAAAAATGAGTGCTGTTGTATTTTGGATGTCAAATAAACTGTTGTATAGATTTAAAAAAATTCAGAGAAATAAATAGAGCTATTTATTTATTCAAGTAAATAGCTAAGGGGCCACCACTAAGAGTGCTACATTAGGAGCCCAAATACAGGTTGCAGTGCTGTGTCAAGTTGCGTGTACTTACCCTTTTCTCTGAGGCTCCCCTTTCTTGAAGTGGCTTTAACAGTGGCCAGGCATGGGATGGCATTTCCACCAAACCCCTGGGTCTTGTGGTCCTACTCTGCACTGATTAAAATTTATTTATTTATTTATTTATTTATTTATTTATTTATTTGTCTTTTTGTACAGGGTCTTACTGTGTAGCTCAGGCTGGCCTTGAGCTCACTTTGTAGCTCAGGCTGGTCTCATACTCACAGTGATCCTCATGCCTCAGCCTCCTGAGGGCTGAGATTACAGGCGTGCACAACCCTCTAGTCTGCTTTGAGTCTGTCCTTTTTTAAAATGGACCTTTATAAGAATTGTCAAGCAATAATCCCAGTACTCAAGAGGCTGAGGCAGAAGGATTACCATGAGTTTGAGGCCAGCCAGGGCTACATAGTAAGTTCAAAGCCAGCCTGAACTACATAGTAAGACCCTGTCTCAAAACAAAAAGTTGAAAACTTCTTTAGTGCACTGAGGTCCAGTTTATCTTAGAAATGCTTGGAAAATTACGAGTTTAAAATTTGAGGTCAACTAGTAAACATTTGCCCGCTGAGATTAATCACACAGGACATAGTTGGGAGACACAGGTAGAGTCTAAAGGTTGAGATTCCTCTCCTGAGAGACGGTGGGACTCAGTTCTGTTATATTCCTGTTGCACTGCAACCATCAGGATAGCTCTGTGTGTTAGAGATATGCGTTATCTTTCTGAGGATCAGTGTTTGCTTTCCTCTCAGCTCTCTGTACATTTCTACCTAGCTAAGGGACCACCATTAAGAGCGCTACATTAGGAATCCAAAGAGGCAAATACTAGTTTCAGTCTACCAAGATTATATAATTGCATGAAAATCAAGTGAGGTCACCAGTGCATCTGCTTTTTTTTTGTGACCTTATTTTGAAATATGGTCATTTATAGAGGCAATCAAGTTGTGGTAGCCTCTGCTTTCTGCCTTCTTCCTGCAGACTATGTATATAATAAATGATTCCTGAAGGTTTTTATAAAAGGAGGTGTTTCTTTTTTTCTTTTCAATAATTTTATTGGAAGCAAATAGCAATGAGACAGTTTCAAATCCAATTAACAGGACAATTTCAATAATTACTGTATTACATTTTGTTGTCTTCATGGTTGTTCATTGTACAAGATGCAGACATGATATCCTGTTTACAAACACTATTAGAACAAATCTTTCTATTCATTGAATTAAGAAAATGTAGCTGTATATCTATCCTATTTTGAATATATAGATACAAAATAGTCGTTCATTTGTATCCCCTTTTTTTGTTTAGTTTTGTCAGAGAAGGGTATTCCATTGTCATTTAAATATTATAGATGCATGAATTCAGCAAAATATTCCAATATAGTCAGTGAAAGTAGTCCATAATAGTAGTGGGACTGGCACTTTTCTGTAAGACTGGGAATGTCAGAAGTTGTTGACTTGAGCCTTTTACAGCTCAGCATATTAATATGGCTTCACTTTTTATACTTCATATTTATTACTTTTTTTGCTGGATGGTTAAGGCCAAGATAAAGCAAGACCTATATAACAAGAAATGTAGCTTTTGTATCTGATAAGGTCAGTCAAGTCCCCTCAGGATTTATCCTGAAACCCTGTACCGCAGTTAGTAGATCCTTTGTCAGTGTCAGCTATGTGGATGAGTCACAGCCATTGCTTGACCAATTTGCTCTCTATGAAAGCCTGAGAGAATAAGGAGGTGTTTCTTTTGCTTACTTTTCTGACTGGGTGGAACTGAGAGAGTGACTTGAGCATAGAAGAAGGGCATTTTAAGATGGATTTTTTTCTTTCTTTCTTTTTTTCTTTTGGCTGCCTCGGGATGCCTTATGGGCAGGTGTGATCTGGGGATCGAACCACAGTATCCTGAGCCAGACTGTTTTGCTTAAGAAGGCACTTAAACAACTAAGCTAATGGGTAGGCCCCCTATTTTAAGTGTCTTACAATTCCCTTCAGACACTGCCCCCCCGAGTAAGCACAAGAAAAGATGATAAATGGGCACTGTCCTTTGTGTGCTAGTTTCTACAGAGTAAATCTCCCGGCTTTATCTTTGCAGACAAGGTGCCATGTGTAAGACCATCTAATATTTCTATAAATAGCCATATAGATGTAATTGCTATGTACTTCTGTTTAAGGTTACAAAAGAAACCTGCATATGACATTTCTGCAGAATTCTGGAGAAAGAATTGTAAAAAAGCTTCTTGCTGTGTAATGATTATTTTATATTCCTTCTCTCTAGGAGTATACTTCGACTGTTGTGTCAGACAAATTAAATTTGTGGACTTCTGTGGGAAGTACCGCCTCCCGCTGATGCACTACTTGTGTTCGCCAGAGTGCTCTTCTCCCTGCAGCTCTGCCTCTCACAGCTCCACATCCCAGAGCGAGTCCGACTCAGAGGACGAGGCTGGTGTTGCTGCACACAGGATGCAGAAAGTTCTTCTTGGCTGAGCAGAAGTGCAGGATG